GGTTCTATAAGAAAGCAGGCTGAGCAAGCCATGAGGAGAAGCCAGGAAGCAGCTCCCTCCATGGCCTCTGCATCAGCTCCTGGCTCCAGGTTCCTGCCCTGCTTGAGTTCCTATCCTGACTTCCTTTGGCGATATACTACAATGTGGACATGTAAGCCAAATAAATCCTTCCCTCCCCAACTTGCTTTTGGTCATGGTGTTTCATCACAGCAATAGGAACCCTGACTAGGAGAGTCCATTTGAATGGAGTAACCAGGTAGTAGTGTCAGCACAATTGGGAGCACAGGGTGAGGAAAGCCAGACGTCATCTGCGGGGTTGAATTGAATTGTGTTATCTGAGGAAATCACCGGCCATTTGGAGACGGTAAAGAGGGGAGGTGGCTGTAGGGACTGGGAACAGGAATAGGAGGATAACACAAGCCACGCTGGTCTGAAAATGACACTGAGGGATGAGGCAAGCAGTATAGAGAACAGTTTAGCAACCAGGGACTCCACTTGGTTCTGGCTAGACACACACTGATGGGGGGTCCTTCTGCATAGATGTTTCTCTTACTGGTTGATGAATAAACCACCGGCTGGCCAATAGCCAAGAGAAAGGATTGGCAGGGCTACCAGACCAGGAGAAGGCTGGGAAGAGGTGGGCAGAGAGTGGCTGCCAAGGGACCGCCATGCTGCTGAAGAAGTAACATGCCAGATTACAGATAAGCCACAGCCTCGTGGCAATACATAGATGAATAGAATTGGTTAATAATTAAGAGAGAGCTAGCCAGTAAGAGGCCCTAGCCATAGGCCAACAGTCTTACAATTAATATAGTGTCTCTGTGTTTATTTGGAGCTAATCAGCTGAAGGACCAGGCAGAACAGAAACACAACACCCCATTCCTAATAATGCGTTTGGCAGCCTGAAACCCTTATCCTTGTATATATAATGCACATACCCTCCTCTTTGAACAATGAATCTAGTAATGTATTAGCAACCTAGGACTCCCAGCTGCATGGAACTGCACGCACACCCCACTCTGACAGCCATCAAACTTAGGTAATACTCAGGTATGCTACGCTAACAATCTAGTCATGGGATCTGAAGCCCAATCGTCCGTTGCCCCTCCTTTATGCAGGAACACCAACAGACAACAGACAACAAACCCAGCTGTTACAATCATTGGCAAATAGGCACAGCTGAACTCCCTGAGATTGTGGCAATTTAGCTCAGAGGATAGTCCTGAACAATAGTTCAAGGAAGAGTCCATCATAGCAGGGAAGTTAATGACACAGCTGGTCCCATCATACCCGAAGACAAGAAGCAGAAAATGATCAATCCGTGTGATCAATTCGCCTTTACTTTTTTATTTTATTTTGTTTTGTTTCCATCCAGGGTTCCCCTGCTCAGGGAATGGTCTGCCCAGAATTAAGATGGGTACTCTCATGGCTAATAATATAATCAAGAAATCCTTCACGGGTGTGACTAGATGCCCGACTCGTGGGTGGTCCTAGGCAATTAGCACCAACCATCACAGACAGCATCCTGTAATTCACCAGGCAGACACCATTCATCAAGGAAGCATGCAACACCACACAGAGGAAGGCAGCCGCCATGGAATTCCCCCTAAGGATGCTCTACTCTCAAATGGTTCCGCCACAGTGGCATGTCTCACCACCTGTCACAGTGAGCATGCAACCACCGCCACAAAGATGCAGACCATCCGATACCACACAGGAAAAGGTAGCCATGAGAATGCTCCATTTACTGGCAGATTGGCTTCGGTTTGCATGTCTTATTACTCATCACAGGGCCCAACTTATCTTTGGTTCTTATCAATCCTTGGGTCTCAGCCCAACTTGCAGCCAGCACCACCATAGACGCCCTCTCTCCGCTCTCTCTCCCTCTCTCTCTCTCTCTCTCTCTCTCTCTCTCTGTGTGTGTGTGTGTGTGTGTGTGTGTGTTTTAAAGTTTATTTTTAACATTTTAAGTTGTGTGTTTATGTCTGTGTGGGGGCAAATACTCCTGAGTGCACGTGCCAGCAGAGGCCAGAGGTGAGTTACAGGAAGTTGTGAGCCACCTGATACGGTTTCTGGGAATTGAACTAGGGACCTCTGGAGGAGCAGTACATGTCTTAACCACTGAGTCATTTCTTCAGCCCAGTACAGTCTCTCTTCCATAGCAATTGTTTTGCTCCTTTTATGAGTTTGGATAGGAGTGTCCTGAAACTTCCCGCTTTCCTGAGCTTCCTGCTTAGCTTCCAGAGTCTCACGAGCCTCCCTCCTCCCTCAAGGAAGGAGAGTTTCAGGTAGCTATGCAAAGCTTTGTTCAAGGACACTGGACACATCTCTGATTGATCCTGTGTGTGGACATGCATTCACACACACAACCCCACCAGAATTCAGAGAAAAAGAAGCCCACAGAGCAAAGCCACACATTAGAATGAAGCCACAGGAAACAAGACCCGGCTCGTCTATAAACTCAGCTGCCACTGAATCAATTGTGGATGACCTCAGAAAGCACAGCCCTTGAAAGCTTCAGGGTTTTGCTCCTCACTCCACTTGACCTTCAGGTTCCACTGCCTCTGCCATTTGTAAGTGGTCATCCATGTCATTAAATCGCAGCACTTGGAAGGCAGAGGCGGGCTGATCTCTGTTAAGTTCAAGGCTGCTTGATCTATGTAGGGAATTCCATATGAGAAAGGGTGACATAGTGAGACCCTGGAGACAACAAGAGAGTGAGGGACGGAGGGAAAGAGGGAGGCAGGGAGAGAGGGAGAGAGAGGGAGAAAGAGAGAGAGAGAGAGAGAGAGAGAGAGAGAGAGAGAGAGAGAGAGAGAGAGAGAGCTGGGCATCACCCCTTCATCTGAACCCCTCACCTCAGAGCCTCTCCACTCCCTAATAGTCTCCAGTGCCTGCAAGAGCCACATCAGGAGGGCTTGCTTTGGGAGACCAAGGTCACACTTCTTTTTCCTGACTCACAATAATAACAAATGTTGGTGGCCCAGCTGTCAGGTTCGAGGGGCACTTGCTATTAGACTTCCAGGCTGCATCATCTGGTTCCCACCACAAGGGGGCAGAGTGGACCTACCTGCAGCCAGGCGAGGAATAGAACTTCTGGAAACCTTAATCTCCCTAAGGACCTCTCTTTGCGCCCTGATGGCCCACTCACCCCATCCCCACCCTCTGTTGCTCTTGGGCACATTTATCTTCTTATTGTAGTCTCAGCTTGAATGATGTTTTTCTCCCTAACATATCTGTAATCCAGTCTTTAGATAAACCTCTGTGATTCTGATCTTTAAATAAATGAGAATAGTAAACCATTGGATATAAGAAATCATCAACTTCTTGGAAATATGATTGTTAGAAACATAAAAATCTAGCTGGGCTTTGGTGGCACATGCCTTTAATCCCAGCACTTGGGAGGCAAAGGCAGATGGATCTCTGTGAGTTCGAGGCCAGCCTGGTCTACAGAGCAAGTGCCAGGATAGGCTCCAAAGCTACAAAGAGAAATCCTGTCTCAAAAAAAAAAAGAAAAAAAAAAGAAAGAAAGAAAAGAAAAAAAGAAAAGAAAGGAAGGAAGGAAGGAAGGGAGAGAAACATAAAAACCCATAACACTTGCTGAGCACCACATGCTGAGCCTGCGCTAAAGACACTGCCTGTGACTGTGGGTATGGCCCTACATCCAGGTGCACAGTAATCTATGTCTCTTTAAACAATAAAGCGCATGGGGTTTGGGTCTTCATCTCCCCTGGAGCACCGGGTTACATTGGGCACAGTCCACAGGGCCGTGTGTGTCTATAGCCTCTGAAACTTGCCACATGCTGCATAAAATAGTCAAAAGTGTTCATTCGTGAAGGCTACATCACGGTGGCCCTGAGGGCGGCAGTGGTCCAGTCCATGTTCCCCTTGTATGGCCACAGGAATCCTAGGAGGGAGACTTTGAATGTTCTTACTTCCCTGCAACCGTGATCTTGGGGGAAGCTTGAGTGATGTTTCCCGACTGCCCACCTGCCCCAGCTCCCCTCGTGTCTCTCCCGTTTCCTCAAGTTATAGGGTTCTATAGGGTTCTATACCTGTTCTCAAGTTACAGGGTTCTATGCCTGTTGTCTCTCTGATGCACACACATGGCCTGCACCTCCCCAATCCTTTGTTCCTAAAACCTTCCAAATCTGACCTTCCTCTACCTGAGTTTCTCTCCCAAGTGCCCTGGAGTACCCCCACATGGTACCCCATCTACACCCTAGCACTCCAAATCGACCTGCATAAGGAAATCTTCCAGCCACTCATGGGACCCCTGACAGAATTGGCTCTAGGTCCCAGTCACAATGTGCACACACTGGTTCTGGTGCCAGCAAATAAAGCTCCATGGTGGGCAAGAGTCCTAGATTTCCCTTGACCTGGGAGCTGGTCACCGGGTTCTCACCCTCACCCCAGAAGGTGGGCTGCTGTTGAAGAGGCTCCTAACCACTCTTTGACCCAGCAGGTCTGACTCAACCCTGCTTCTACGGAAGGTGTATCCAGACCTTCAAGGCAACCATAGCCTAGCCAATACCTGGCCTCTCTTCTGGGGCTATTAACCAGGTATGCTGTGTGACACCAGTGCTGAGACTTCACTGAGTAGAGATGACAGGTGACACCATAAGCCTGAGCATGTCCCAGGAGAAAATGACACCAAAAACCAGAGATCTCAGCTGCCCCCTTTAAGACCCCCTTAATCTTTCTGCCACAGCCACGAGGGCCTAACCCTATCTCTTCTCTCTCTTGATGTCTCTTGTGGAGACTCTTGGTTGGGGTGATAAAGAGGTGGACCAGACAACCAGCCAAGGAGGACAGCTGGGGTCGGTGGGGTGGTGATGTAATTAGTGTGGCTTCACACACACACACACACACACACACACACACACACACACACCTGGCTTGCTGAGCTTCTCCCTCCACCAAGACTCCACCCTCACCTCCGGGAAGCCCTCCCTCTGCACTTTACCACCAACCATATTGAAATACCACGCCCCTGTTTCTTCCTCTCCTGGGGCTTTTGGGGGTACCTCTGTCACAATGCTCAGTAATGTGTAGCAGCCAGAGTGGCTGATCTGATTCTGGTCGGCTCATCTGGACAGCATGACTCAGGAGGCTCTGCTGGCCTTGCTACTAATGCTGGCCAGACTCCTACCTGGCCCCCTGGATGCCCAAGGTAAGCATTTCTCTGCACTGCAGGCTCCCAGGGGGCTCCTCACACATTTGCCTGGGAAGGGTTGGTACTGAGCTTCACTTCCCTGAGTCTCAGTCCTTCTTTCGGGGTCCTGGAGTAGTCTCAGCTCTGTGGGAAAGTGGCGGTGTGGAAAGCTTTGTTTACATGACTAGCAATCGCCCTTGTGGCTAGTGAGGAGGTTGTCCTTTAGCTCCCTTTCAGAGCAGCTGTCTGTGGGAAGGCCTATGGTAAGGTGCAAAAAGCTCTACAGTAAGCATACGGGAGGCTCAGGCTTCCAGGCACAATCCTTGCTCAAACCAGCACAGTGTTCAGTTTGTGAGGGCCTGATGTTTGCACTCAGCCTGGTGTCCGCAGGAAAATGGATGGTGAGGGCTCCAGGAAGGGCAAACTAGGCTGGAGTCTGAATGGGTGGGGGTCCCATGAACAAGGCAAAACGTGTCCCTTCTACAGAGCCACAGGCTCTGGGTGCCTGGAAATGACCTGGGGGAAGCAGCCAGCAATCAGAGATGGGACAATGGCTGTCTGGGGACTGACTCAGATGAAAAAGAAAGGGTAGAGCCTGGGGCGCAGTGGGGAGGGGTGTGGGGGATGGGGTGCTCAAAGAGGAAGAAGTCCTAGTGCTGAGAGGCAACAAAGTTGCAGTCAGCCCACCCTGAGGCCCACCACTGCATCTTCTCTAAAGTGCCATGTTAGCAGGGGCTGACCGCAGGCCTGACCCCAAGTGCCTACACCATCCCTGCAGATGTTAGTGTGTTGAGTCCCTGTGTGCTGTGTGGGAAGCGGGAAGGATCTCTCTGCCAGCCCAGTGATAACAGTGGCTAGTCCCTCACAGAGATACCAGTCCTCATGGCCTCTGAGGGGGAGTCTGTCAATATCACCTGCTCTACAAGTGGAGACTTGCAGGGCATCTATCTGAAGCAGAGCTGGCCACAGGCTTCCAAAGTGACTTACTTTGAAGACGGGAAGGAGCCCACAGTAGACAAGCGTTTCTCAGGCCGAATTGACTTCTCGGGTTCCCAGAACAACCTGACCATCACCATGCGCCTCCTCAGGAAGACAGACATTGGAATCTATACCTGTAGTGCCGTCACAAAAAACAGAAGCGACGGTTTATCCACCATGGTCATGGTGACAGGTAGGGAGTGTGCCCATCTACTGCTGGCTAGACCAGGAGCCTGCTGGCTGCTGGGGCCTTCTTTTCCCTTGCCTCAACTGTCTGCCCAGAGCCTGTTTGTTCCTGGAAGCCTCCTAGTTGCTGCCCCTCTGCTACCACCGCAGCTCCTCCCAGACTTGAACCCTAAGTCCTCAAGTAGAGTCCTCTCCTACCAATGGCTCTTTTTGTTCATCTTCCCAGAAAAAGCATCCCAAGAAGTATGCAAATCCCAGGAACCTCGGAGGACATCAGTTTCCCTCCCAGCTGCCCTGGCTGTAGGCTTCTTCCTTCTTGGGCTTGTCCTTGGGCTGCTATGCCCACTGAGGAAAACACAGGTCAGTGTGAGCCTATGACTGTTATCAATAAACTGGCCCTTCTCACAGGCTGACAGAAGGTCTGGGACACATGACAAAACACTGAAGATGCAGAGAGGGGTGTGTGTGAGGCGTCATTCGGGGACACAAAATGGGAGAGTAAGTCTAGGGGTAGAGTGTGGGGCTTCTGACCAGGCCCCTGTGCACAGCAAAGTGAGATCGCATGTGTGTGGATACCAGTCTGCGCGTGCTGTGTGAAACGTGTGGGTGTGCGTGGACACACATGAATGTGGGTATGTGGAGTCTCTGGGTTATATATGTGTCATGTGTGTGTTAATGTGTTTGAGTCCCCATGTGCCGCCATGTGAGAAGGGCAAGCGGCTTGGTCTAGAAGGGTCCTGACAGTTGTCAGTTCTTCCTGGTCACTCTCAGCTGTTGGCCCTGGCATCTGCCTACAGTTGGCCCTGCCAGGTGCAGATGGCAGCCTGATCTACCCCCAAGTCTGGGGAAACTGTTGAAGAAAGAGGTTGCTTGGAGACAGGCACACCTTGCCTGGGTCACCATGCTGGCCACTGCCACTGTCTTTTCAGATCAAGGAACTGTGTGCCTCGAGGGATAAGGACACGCGGTGTGTAGTGTATGAAGACATGTCCTACAGCAAACGCAAGACTCCATGCGCCCCCAACCAGTACCACTGAGCCCCTCTACCTAAGTCCCCCATGCCTTGTTTCAGAAGGGCTCCTAGTAGTCCTGCTGACCCACCCAGCCCAACTCCCTCAGCACCCTTGTGCCACTCAAGTGCCCCCTTGGTGCTTCTGGGTGAATGGGACTCCTCCTCTGTAAGCTTCCCCACAGGGCTCTGCAATTTGTCCCCCACCCTAGCCAGGTAGCCCTGATCATGTTGCCATCAGGAAAAAATGCTTGGGGGGAAAAATATGTTACCTGCCTTGGAGCAGCTTGGCCAGAAATAAACAAACAAAGCCCTTGTTCTTCTTCTTCTTCTTCTTCTTCTTCTTCTTCTTCTTCTTCTTCTTCTTCTTCTTCTTCTTCTTCTTCTTCTTCTCTGATCATGGCTTTTATTCTCCAGCCAGCTCCTGGCTGAAGAGGGTAGGGACTCAGATTAGCAGTCCTCCGGGTTTTGTGGCCAGTATGTGTGAGAGCAGAAGAGGGCAAAAGTTGGAGGAGGGGAAGCTCCTCTGTCCCAGCCCCCAGGAGGCTCAGCACTCCAGACACCCCATAAGGAGCAGCTCACCTGCACAGGCGAAGCGCCTGTAGCAACAGTCTCACCCACTCTAGAAGGCCATGTTCCTAAGGGCCCAGCCCTGCCAGGTCCCTGGTGTGCAGCCCTAAGGCCCTCAGTGAGAACAGCATGAGTAGTGGCTTTCCCAGACTCCCCCTTTGTCTCAGAGACCCTTACTGGGGACTGACACATGAAATCACCACAGCACTATCCCCCCACACACACACACCTAGGGCCAGCCCAGCTCCATGTGGTGCACTTGGGCGTAGGAACCCAAAACTGACACTCAACTGATCCATGGTGAGCTGCTCAGTCCCTCATCTGCCTCACACCACTGACTCCTGGGATAACTGGAAGCATCAAAAAGGACAAAAACAAAGTCAATAATACATTTGTGCTGGCCCCACAGCTCCACACCCTCACCTGCCCCCCATTGCCTCCTGCCCTTCTGTCCCATACCTGTGGCCAACAGAATAAGGTGGGCACAGAGGACAAATGACTAATAGCAGCAGTACAGTAGGGGACTTAGTAGCCCTGCTCTGTGTACCTGGAAAATGGGAAGTCAGAGAGTCCAGCAGTGAGTGGTACCCTTGGATCCAGACCACAGATCCATTCACCTCCTCACAGAGCCTCCTGTCCTGCCAGCTCATCCCCAATTCAGGCTTCCCTACCCAAGCTGATCTCTGCTTCCCAAGCTACCACCACTGCACTCAGAGAGAGTGTGCACCATGACACTGGCATGTGGTCACTCAGGTGATAATGACAGCAAAGCCTGAAAGGGTCCCAGGAGGACCCGAGCCTGAAGCAGCTGTGTAAGTCACTGGGGTTGTTAGTCCCCAGCACACTGTGTAGATAGATCCCTGGTCAAGGGTCCCAGGGGTCTGGGTCTATAAGGTTAAAACCCCTGGGGCAGCTAAGACCCCTGTCAATAATCCCCAGCAAGCCTTCTCTCTTTGTAGGTTCCTCTCACTTGCTGCCCCAGTCCCATCTGGCTGGGCCACTGTCCTGTGCCCAGGTGGCCTCCTAGACAGCCTCACCAGCCACACCAGCCTTACTTAGGAAATGTGATGTAGTTTCACCCTTGAATGAGGTCTTTAAGACATGAGACCTCCCTCTAAACCTAAACTCAGAGCCTCTGTCCTCCATCCAGACCTGGCTGGACTACCCCAGCTCCCAGGCCTGCTCCACCCTTAACATCTCAGAAGAGACAAATCACTGCTGTTGGTTGGCCCTCCCTGTAGGCCTTCATGGGCAGGGCTTTGCTCAGCTGGGGGGTCATCCACAAAGAGTTCTCCATCAGTGTGAAGAGAACCGGGCTAACACACCTGCAAATCCAGAAGCCAACAGTGAGTCCTGACCACCAGTGTAAGCCATAGAGACATCAGCTGCATGCTTAAAAACATCTCAAACAAAAATATATGACAGAAAACTACAAATTGCAGGGAAATATTCACTAAACAAACTAGTGGTCAGGAGCCAATATATTTATTTAATTTCTAAGATGACGTCTATGAATAGAAACACAACATTCCAAAATAAAAGAATATACCAACACTGAGCGGGTGGCCAGCAATGCCCAACTGTCCCATTCCTTTTACAGTGGCTCTTCAGTGTCTGCTGTCACCTAGTGCTCTCTCTCTGTATCAGCCCCACTCTTCAGCATCTGGAGGCCCCCAACCCTCTGCAGCTCTGGGAGATACTGTAATGTCTATGTCTAGAAGATCTTGACCTCCAGCCAGCAACTGTGGGCCTGGGTGGCTCTATCTGAGCCCTTTACACTTAGCACCACCAGCTAGCAGTGACCAGGAAAGGCATAGAACACAGGTATGGGGTTCTGGGAGACAGGCTAGGCACAGCTGTTCTCAGTCGTACCCTGTGCAGTAACGTAAGTCTTGTTTCAGCACAGCCTCCCACACAGAGAGCAGAGGACCAGCAATGGGACAGAGCCCATGAGGTTAATTTCTGTGCCCTCCACCTCCCTGAAAGAAGTCGAGACATCTAAGGCTTGGGACTCAGCCGAGAGCAGGTCCAGGTATATTGCAGGTGCCACCAGGGGCTTGCTGACTTAACAAAGAAACCTAATTGTTGGCCCTTGGGCCTCATTCCCCACCTGTAAATTAGGTAGGTAGCATCTACTTCTCTTCAAGTGCTGGTTTGGTTGCCAGGCTTAAGCTAAGCTGTTCAAGACCCCCGGCTCTCACCAGAGAAGTCACTCTACTCTGGTTTCGCCTCTCGTTTCGGAAGCAACTTCCTGAATGATAAGCAGACCGCCCACAAGCCCATCTCAGAGCCCTTGTGATCTGAAACATTGCTTGCCAGACCCCACCAAGCAACAACAGGCCATGCGTCCGCAGAGCTGAATTCCTGGGCTCCCCTCCCTCCTCCTAACCTCGCTTGCTCAGGGCCATGATGTCATGACCTCCTTTCTGACCCCTCCCCATGATCCTCCCCTTGACCTTTCTATCAAGGCTGAGCTCCCCACAGTCCTGCTCTTTTTTTGTCTACATTGGGGCCTTGATGGTGTGCTACATGGGAACCAGTCCCCCTGCTGTGCCTTCCACCCCCCAAGCCCTGCCCCATCCCCATCCAGGATCAGAGGTACCCAGCCTTTTAGTGAGCACCACTATGTGCTATGCATGTTGGGTAGTATTCTGGTCTATTCCTCTAGTGACAATTGCATGTGCGCTTGGTCTGAGCCCTGTCCCTACCTCCCATCTCTCAGCAGGATGTGGAGGCTTTTATGGCTTGGGACTGAGCCAAGGGCAGAGCCAAGTGTGTAGCAGGTGCCACCAGGGGCTTGCTGACTTCTGGTTCCAGATCTTGACTACTCAACAAATAAGCCTTATTTTTGGCCCTTGGGACTTGGTGGAGGTGTCTCTTAAGGCTGTGGGTCCCTCATCTGTAAAATGGGACAATGCAGTAGTCAATGCCATAAAGATTAACCAGGATGCTGCCTGCGACACCTCCATAGAGCAATACTCCCTCAGCCACCCAGGCTTGGACAGACAGGGGAGTTAGAGTACTTGGGAAAAAACCCTAGGGGTAGCCTCACCCACAGGGGAAGGCTTTCCCACTACAGCCTCCCTCCTCCCCGCCTTGAGAATTTCATGAGGTCAGCCTCATGAAGCAGAGGTCAGCCGCAGCCTAAGGCATCCCAGCACAAAGGGATCACTCCCACCTCACCCCTTCCTCTCCCTTTCCTCCCTTCCGCCAAGCCTGAGGGTACCAATAAATCTTTTTTGTTAACGTTATACTCTGACACAAGAACCTAGCCAAGGGGTAGCAGCCAAAGGGGAGTATGGGAAAGGTCAGAGAGAGCTCCTGTGGGATACCCTGTGTGCACCTGGGGTCAGAGGGAAGGGAGAGTGCTGCTTGGACTTAGCCAATGAGAACAGCGGAACAGTGAGGAGATTCCAGACCCAGATGGTGCCAAGCTCCTCATACTTGAGGACAAAAGAACAATTAAATACTGGGGGTCAAGAACTTGATTCCTGGGGGAGGGGAGGAGGAGGGAGAAGGGATTGACATGTGAAGCAAGCTTGTTCCTAATTTGAACTAAAAAAATAAAAAAATAAAGAACTTGATTCCTGAACTATCACAACTTAAGGGCAAAATAAATACACACTCAGGCACCCTCTTCTGGCCTCTGTGGGCACCAGGCACTCATGTGGTCCACATACAGATATGCAGGCAAAAATCTCATACACACACAAAAAAATTAAAACTAGAACTACCATATGGCCCAACAGTATCACACCTGGATATATAGCAAAAAGCTCTATATTCTTCTACAAAGACACTGACCCATAATGTTTATTGCTGTGCTTTCACAATAGCAAGGAAATGGAACCAACTACATCTCCATCAACAAATGAATAGATTTAAAAAATGTGGCATAGTAGCCAGTGGTGGTGCAGCACTTTAATCCCAGCACTCCGGGGGCAGAGGCAGAGGTGGATCTCAGTGAGTTCGAGGCCAGCCTGGTCTATGGAGTGAGTTCCAGGACAGTCAGGACTATTACACTGTCTTGAAAAAACAAAACAACAACAACAACAAAAAGTGATACAGTACATAGTGGGATTTTATTCCACCATAGAGAAAAATGAAATTATTAATGTCCAGGGAAATGGCTAAAAAATACTATATTAAGTGATACAACACAGGCTCAGAAAGACAAATGCCTCCTATTCCTTTACACATGCAAATCTTAGTTTCTAACTGTTACATAGGAGGGGGGTTGGGG